ATGGAGGAGAAGGGATTGCGGTGTGGCCATCCTCTCTGGGGGATGATTTCTCGCTTTCTGTCTCTCTGTCTCTCTCTGTCTTTCTGGTGAGTGCACGTGCCTCATGGCAAAAACTCTCCAAAAAAAAAAAAAAAACAAAAACAAAAAAACCTTTTTAAGCATTAATCATAAAGGGGTAAAATACTAATTTCAACAATATTTAAAAACCTGTCCGAGACTTGGGAAGGCATCTGCAGTCTCTATGCCTCTTTAGAGGGTATATGTCCCGAGTATACGAAGTACTGAAAACAGTAAGAGACAACGGAACAGAAAAATGGGCAAAGGGGACCAGCAGGTGGCGTGGTTGTTAGGGCGCTGGACACTCCCACATGGCTGACCACGGTTCAAGTCCTGGACCTGGTGGCTTGCTTTCTCCCTCTTTCTCATTCTCTCTGAAAGATCAAACTGGAAAACTATAATAATAAAGTTAAATAAAATAGTTATTAAAAAAAAAGAAAGAGGGAACCAGCAGTTAGCGTAATGGCTATGTCGCTGGACTCCCACGTAGTCGACCGCGGTTCGTGTCCCGGACCCGGTGGCTTAAAACTCACGCCGGGCGCGTGTGCGTGCGTGCCCAAGATCCCGAGAGGAGAATGGAGAAGAAGGGATTGCGGCGTGACCATCCCCCCTGGGGGGTGATTTCTCGCTTTCTGTCTCTATGTCTCTCTCTGTCTGTCTGGCGAGCACACGCGCCCTACAGTGAAAATCTCTCCAAAAAAAAAAAAAAAAGAAAGAAAAATGGGCCAAGAACTGAAACAAGCATCACAGGAATAGCCAATAAAAAGTATGAAACGTCATCAGTTACTAGGGAAGTACAAATTAAAACCACAGGGTAGGAACCAGCAGACGGCATGGAGGTTACGTTGTCGTTGGACTCCCACATGACCAAGCACAGTTCGAATCCCGGACCCAGTGGCTTGAAACTCGAGCTGGGCACATGGGCTTGCGTGCCCAAGATCTCCATGAAGAATGGAGAAGAAGGGATTGCGGCGTGGCCATCCCCCCCTGAGGGATGAAAAAAGGAAAATAAGAAAACACAGGGTAGTGACCAGCAGAGGGCACGGTGATTAAGGCACTGGACCCCGACAAGGTCAGGCACGGTTTGGTTCCTGGATCCGGTGGCTTGAAACTCACGCTGGGCACATGTGCGCCCACGATGCAGACAGGAATGGAGACGTGGAGAGGGGATTGCGGCATGACCGCGGTGCTTCGCAGGGTGGAGGGGACGACAGTGCCTACCCCTGCCTCCAGCTCTCTCTGGCAAACACACTCACACAGACAAAACGAAAACCGAAAACGAGCGGCACCTATGAAGGCGCATGTGTAACGGCCCCTTGAAATGTTACTGGGCTAGGGGCCGGCAGGTGGCATGGTGGTTAAAGAGCTGGACTCCTACGGGATCGACTATGGTTCGAGTCCTGGACCTGGTGGCTTGCTTTCTCACTTTCCCTCTCTTTCTCTCTCTCTGGTCAAATGAATAATAATAAACTTCTATTTAATATTTTACATTTTACTCTATTTATTTTCATTTGACTGAGGGTGGGGGGGGAGAGAGAGAGAGAGAACTAGCTACCAGGTCCAGGGCAGGGGTGGGGGAGAGAGAGAGAACTAGCTACCAGGTCCAGGACTTGAACCATGGTCGGCTGTGTGGGAGTCTAGCGCCCCCAACCACCATGCCACCTGCCGGCCCCAGTAGTAAAATTCTTTTAAAAGTTAATGGCCTAAATTCACCTAAGGTTTTCAGAAAAAGAATATTTCTTTGTGGCTTCCAGGCGAGAACGACCTTGGTAGGACACGAAGTACAATTCTTAAATTTGAACTAAATTTACTGCACAAGCGTCCATACATTTAACAAAGACTAAATGCACAAATCAGTAAGGACAGGATTGTGATGGCCAGACGGTGGCACGGGGGTGCACCTGCGATCTGGGAGGCAGAGGGGGTGCATTGGAGGGGGGACCCCACAGCACCGTCCGGACTTGCTGAAACTGCGGGCAATCACAGTGACGGACCTTGCTGGCAGCGCTGTGTCTCCGTCTCTCAGGCCATAGCACGAGGGCTGGCAGGAGCGTGGTGGCTAAGGTGCTGGACTCCCACAGGGCTGACCACGGTTCAAAT